GGTGCAAGGTTATCATAAGTTATCATAATAAGTTATCATAAGATGGAAAATGAAAGTACACAACAACACCTTTTGTTCTCCCAGCCCAGTTCTACTTTAGAAAATGTAAGGCAGTCAACTCAGGCATTAGATACTTAAAGGTGACAGCAGTGTGATAAGGAACTGCCATGTTTCACATACACTCTTGCTAATGCTAGTCTTCAGATTTCAGACCCAGTGAAGGATGCTGACCCATCATCATCATTGGTTGTTTGCTTGCTCCTGATACCAAATCCAAGATAGCACCCTTGCCAGTTTAGTTGGGCATATAAAAGCATATCAGACAACTTATATACACCCAATGGATTTGGCATGGGTGTCATTTTGTTCTTTGAAGAAAATTGCCCCAGGAAGAAAAATGACTTGGCTCAGTCCTGCTGTTGGTGCTTTCTTAGCCTCAAGCGTTATTTGAGTTCTAATCCATGTTTAGCACAACTCATGATTTGGCATGTTGGAGAGGTTAACGTGCTTTCCTTCATAGAACTCACCTCCATGAAAAATATTGACTGAAGTGACCTGTCAAGATTAAGCCTTGATTGTATAACCTAACGAATAACTCTCCTGTCTTCTCAACTCTGTTGGTATCAGGCTCAAGCAAAGGAATTGATAGTTCTTCCATCACATACACACACATGTCCCTTTTAGTTTCCAACTAAGTTTCATTCATATTCAGCATCAGCAAGGAAGTGCTCTCCAGGCATCCAAAACAACATATCAAGGTATCAGTTTGTGATTTAATTAACCAGCTTAATCCCATTAGAAACTGATCTTTTAAACAGCAGGAAAACCGCTGACAAAATGCCAACAGGAACATTAAAATTCCACTCATGGATAGAATTTAATATCACAATTAGATGCAATTCTACAAAGCCATTGTAAGCATTCATTTGTATTTAGTCGACTTAATATTTGGGAGATAAAACAAAAAGATTGGAAGATTCCCCCAGTGTTTGCTAAACTGCTTGTGAATAAATGGATGTTGTTTTTACCCAAGGTCTTTGTACAATTCCTTTATAGTTCTAGCTTACCTTCTGCCAACATTTTCAAACCATCAGGCATCACAAACTGGGGGATTTATATACCCAGTACAAAAGAAGGAACCACTGCATTGGATAATGCTCCAGACATAACAAAAGATAACATGAACAGAACAAATAGAACTCTGGACAGCTTCAAATATTTTAAAGCACTTTACATGCTAAGGTTTTAATGGATCTTTTGAAAGCATTGGAACACCTTCTTTCTTTCTCTTTGAAACTAACTTTCCTCAATTTCTAATTGTGTGCTTAAGGTCCTAATACAGATGGGCAACAAGCTAATTTATTGTTCCTGTCCACTTTTTTAAAATAGAAATTCAAATAAATGGGGAAAAGAAAGAATCAAGAAAACAGGGATGAGAAAGAAAAGCATAGGATATTAACATGGGCTAGGCATATAAATGAATATAAGTTGACAAAAGCTGAGTGCCTACATCATACTGACAAAGCATTCTCTCTGCCCATGTATTTATGGAAGCCAACAAAGGCCATTCGGTTTGCCCAGCTGCTTTCCCAGTGCACAACAGAAATAATAATAATAATAATAATAATAATAATAATAATAATAATAATAATAATAATAATAAATGTTATTTATATACCGCCCAGTGGCAAGCCAATCTAGGCGGTTTACAAGCTAAAATGCATACAGCTTAAAATGAATAAGACCCTCCCCCCGTAAAAATCAATTAAACTAGATACCATTTAAAATCAGCTGACAATTCAGCTTAACAATAAAACAAACAAATATACAAACCAATAAAACCCCTGTGACTTTAGTTCTAAAGAGGGGCTAAAAAGCAATCATGAGGAGAGAAAAAAATCCCAAGGTCCGAAGGTCCCGAGGCCGGGTATTTTTAGTCTGGAAAGGCCTGCCAGAGGAGAT